AGGAAAACACATAAATTCAGAGCACAGAGGACTTACTCATAGTTGTGATGGAGAAGAGTCACCGATAAGCCTGAAGCTGATGGAAGACGGATCGCCGAGAGTAGGAAGCTAAAATTGCAGAGAGGGTTAGGGCACAAATAAATTCTAAATTTGAGAAGATGGAAAAAGCCGAAAAATCCTAAGAACGGATATTTATGTGTGGATAAGGAAAGCAAGGTGAAGGAGTTAATGAAAGTAGCCGTTGGATTAAAGTGAAATCTAACGGTTGGGAGTATCTAAGGGGCGCAGATAACGAAACGGTAAATCACGAGGAGACGTGATGATGGATGTATCTGACAGCAGGACAGATGGCAGAATGAGACTGCATTATGATGATGGAAAAGAAGGGCGATTGAAGATCAAGAGAAAACTCACTAAGTAGTCGAAGAATAGAAGAAAAGCACCAGATGGTCGACAAACAGAGAAACGGGAAGGGCGAACACAGATGAGATATTATATACCTAAAGGAGTAAACCGGTCCACTAAATCGGTCACACGAATCTAACACCAGGAAAACCACGCTGGTCAAACAATATCGAGGTGAACGGCAGTGGTCGAACACTTCCGGAGTGGGATGAGAAGAATCTCGGAATGGGATATACGTTGGTCTCGAGTACATGAGAGATCTGGTCGAAGATCGACTTATCGAGCAAGGGGTCAGCTGATCGGCCACTCCCTAGGTGGAGAGCAATCTGAGGATTGACTTAAACATGAGAGAGCGCGTGAGCCTTTAAGGGAATTTCAAAGGAATATTCAAGGGAATATTTACCCATGTGCAGAGGACACGTGGCACAAATATATTGGCATATGGCGATAATCGCTTCTGAGACGCACACTGTGTGTACGGACGGGCAGGCCTAGGCAGGTTTTGGGCAGACAACTCATCAAATCTGGGCAGCTCCCAGGTCAGGTATCCCACTTCTATATATATAGAGGTGAGCTTTTCTTATTGGGCACGATTTATCCATTTTTACTCTTGAGAATTGAGTAGAACAAACACTGACTTAAGCATCGGAAGCTCTTCACCGAAAAACCCCATCGGTGTGAGAGTTGTTTTCAAGTACGCGGCGTTCTATGCTTCTCCTCTCTGGGATCCTATTCAATACATAAATGTACTAGTGCAACTAATCAGTCAAGACCAACTGTACCTTTGACACTACAACCGTTCGGATGGGGTGTTCATTACCATCTAGGTTATGAACCACAATTCTTGTTTCGCAAGCAACTGATAGAATGATCTTCTGTTCGCCCGATGACGACCCATTCTATCTAAGTGCAAAACAACAGAACATAAAACTTGTTTAATCTAACATGATTCTCATTCATAAAAGGTAAAAGTGTAATATCATCTCAAGTCAAGCTTTCAGTATATAACACCAACTGTTAAAATTCATTTCAGGATTCAACAGAGGCATGTCCCGTTATGATTTCTTTTGTCCTAACCATAAACAAGATTCAACTTTAGTCTTTGTCTTATATTAGCCTTTTCTTGAAGAAATTGATGCTTAGTCAAGACAAATTATATGTTGTTGATTCATGTGGCATCATCCGAAAGAATTAGAAATATTATATTGTTGGGACGATGGCTTATCAAAAAATCAAACAGAAAATATTACGTATTAGAAAGTTTTCAATAATATATGATTTTTGCATGTTGACCAGTTAATAATTGGACAACGAACCTATGTATGATAAATCTTTTAATGTCAAAGAACTTTCAATTTATAAAAACCCACCTTAAAATTGTTAACTCGTGCATCGTTTCGACCGCGCACTACTATAGCATAGTACAATTAGTCGTTGCTCGCACTGCGCGCAAAGCATGTGCTCCCGTGCATCATAGGTGCTAATCCCGAATAGTTACACCCAAACAGGGTAATGACAAATAGCTCAAGGGACACCCAGTGACGTCCAGGACCACTATACAGTAAATAAAAGCATGGTTCTGAAAACCGAATGAGTCATCAAACCGGTGAAGCTACCGGTTCAATGGTTCACTGGTAGGACCAGTGGCAGGACCGGTCGAACCGGTTTAATAAATATATATTTTTTAATTTATTTTATATGTATAATATATAATTATATATTTTTTTCATTAATTTTATAGTGTATGACATTTCACTAAATAAGAGTTAAATAATAGATACAATCACATTGTTAATGAATGTTGATAATATTATTTTAATTTTATTTTTTATATTTAAAATTTTAATCTATATTTAAGTTACAAAATAGAGAGAATAGAAACAACTCTATTTTAATATTTAAATTTTATTTTAAGTTTTTTATTATTGATTGACAAAATAAAAATAAAAATTATGTGCATAACAATAACAATAAATTATTTTTTTTCTTCTTTAATAAATTGGGAATACATATAACCTAATAAATAGTTCAATACAAAAAAAAAATAGTACATTTTCTTTTAATGGGTACAATTTTGCTTGTAAGCCCAATATTGGCCTAATAAACCAACAACAGTCTTCATTTAGGAACATTCCCACATTGGAAACACAAATAAAAAAAAGTGTGATATTTAACTGACTTCCAAATCAACTCTACACAAGTTGAAAAGTTATAATCGTTGAACCGTTCAAACTGGTCCCGGTTCATCGGTCTGACCGGTTTTGGACCAGTTCGAATGGTTCTTGAGCGGTTCAAATCCCTGCTAGGTTTATGCTTCAAACTAGTTCGGAATGAAGGCCGGTTCCCGGTTGAACCGGTCGGTCCAGTCCGGTTTTCAAAACCAAGAATAAAAGCCATTTTTTATCTTGCAAACGTTTGTCAATCATTGTGGGCATAAATCTGGGGTGATTCCATCTTAGGGTTTTACATATTTCAAATGCATCGAATTTGTCGATCGAATTATTTTGTTAGAATTTATGAGTTTAAGTTCATTACAATTCAATTACGTCGACTTCAGAACTTATTCCGGTCCGTTCGTATCGTTCATTGCCATTTTCTAGAAAGCCAGGTACATGTATATCCACTAACATTTTGGGATTAAGATCCGTAACTGCTCCCATTGAAATCATAAAAAAGGACAGAAATTTTGGCTCATTATTTTATGCATCGAACGCGGAATGAACATGTGACATCTAAGACATTATTCAACAAAAGTACACAAGAATTGTGCTTAAATTTCAAAAGCTTGAGACTCTCAAGAAATATACAGCCAAATTGTGTTTGTGATGATTGTTTCGTGATCATTAATTAATATTATTATCTTTTGCCTTTTGCCAAATAGCATTGTTACTCCGGTATTCTAAATTAATTTGCATTATTTGTTTCACCAAATAGTAAATTCTTCCATTGCTCTTTTAAACTAGTATCGGAACTTCTAATATCACTGTCAAGTAAAATTTGTAAATATATAATCATAAATGTTAATCCGTATCCTGACTGAGTGGCTTTGGGATTTTGAGCATCACGTGTGTGTCTTTATGTGAATAATCAATCTTATCTATGTGTTATATGTATCGAGATTTTTGTTACGGTAAGGGTGGGTTTTTGTGGACAACTCATTTTCAAAGTGGTGGAATCTTGAAATATCCGAGTCAATATCACAAATCTCATACTCCGGAAATGGGGACACCCTTTTTATATTTCCTTAATATATTTTTCTCATCAAACTTAACTTTAGAGGGAACCAAGAGACAAGGAGTTGAATGACAAACTAGTCTCCTAAACAACAATTTCGGTCATGCTATTCACTTTGTGCAATCTTTTATTTAATACAAAGTGAGTTAAAGTTTGTTTTNCACTCCTGAAATGTAATGTTAAACCACAATCAAAAATCAATTTTCAATTAACTAAATCAATTTAAGTGTAATCATATTTTTTTTTTTTTACTATTCTATTATACAATAGCAAGTTTTCTAGTATTTCTAAAACATCCTTAAATACAGTGTTTTAAAACCCATTCTGGCCCGGCTGGTTGGCTTGGTACCCGGGTGACCCGGGACCGAGACAGGTTCGAGTTTGTTGTTCGTAGAGGGTACCAATGGACCCAATTGAACCCGATCATGACCCAGTCAACCAGGCCTTGACTCGGTGTGGTCAACTCGATTTGACCGGCCATTAAATATTTTTTATTTTTTATATTTAACTTTTTTTTAAATAAAATAATATATATATATATATATATGCAGTAAATATTTGTCACCAAATACAATATTGTTAAGAGTTAGTGGTATATAAATTTTGCACATAAATAATTTATTTTTATTTATAGGATAAAATAGTATAAATGCAATTTTAAATTTTATAAAATTACTTATTCGGTTCAACAATTTACCCGATATTTTATCATCCCAGCGTTCGTCATCGTAGCCGTCACTAAAGTCATCGTAGCCGTCACTAAAGTACATAGTGACGAAATTTCATCACCGTCACATCTTTCGCCACCGTAACCGCGTCACAAAATGTATGGGTCATTATCCTGATTTCTCATTGAAAAATTATTTTCAGTGACGTCGATCTCGTCGCCTTTATAATTAGATTCTCGTCATTGAAATTCTTAGATTGTCACTAAAAGTTAATATTTGAATGACGAATTGATATTTTATCATCTAAATATTTCTACATTCACAAACTCGTCACTCTTACAATCGAATTTTCGTCACTTGAATATTCAAATTGTCACAAAAGATATATATTTATATGACGAATTCAAGTCTTCGTCACTAACATATAGCGACAAATTTCACCAAAAAATAGCACTCGACCCACTTTGAAAGTTCTAGCAACTATTTTTGCACACAAACCATTATAACAATATTTGGCCTCCTCCATTAATTTCCTCATAAAATAAATTAATTCTCTACTTCCTCCTATAAAAAGGGGGCCGGGGTCTCCCCAACTCCCACGTATATCACTCACATAACATCTCATCTCAATACATATCCCTCGAAAACATTCCCTCCACTCCACCAAAACCCAAAAAAAACAATCAATTAATTATGTCGTCCTCATCAAATCCAACACCACCGCCCAACAACACCAACACCAACATGGCCCTCTTCGAGCCCATCCTCACCGACACCGGCTTCGCCCTCCTCCAGCGCAACACCGCCGCCCACCTCCCTTCCTCCGACCGCCGCGGCCGCAAGAAGCAGGCCGCCGCCGCCGACCCCGGCCGCTTCCTGGGCGTCCGCCGCCGCCCCTGGGGCCGCTACGCCGCCGAGATCCGCGACCCGACCACCAAGGAGCGCCACTGGCTGGGCACCTTCGACACCGCGCAGGAAGCCGCCCTCGCGTACGACCGAGCCGCCCTCTCCATAAAGGGAGCCAACGCCCGCACAAACTTCATCTACGCCGACATACACACGAACCCCGCCCTTCCCGCCAACTCCTTCCAACTTCATAATTACGAAAATACCCTTCCTCCTCCTCCTTCTCTTCCTTCTCCTCCTCTCGTCAACTCTGGCTATTTGGACTGTGTTGTTCCAAATGAGTATCTCAACCCGTCCAAGAATTCGGGCGGAGAAATCTTGGATTTTTCTTCCACATATAATCACATGGATATGGGTCTTGCGCCATGGGATGATAATAATAATAATAATTTTGTGGAGAACATTAATAATAATTATAAAAATGAAATTAGGGATGAAGTTGGATGCTATGGGTCGTGGGATTCGAGTTGCTGCGAGCTTTCTGCAGTGATAAACAACAACAGCCCTTCATCATCATCAATATCAATGACGCCTCACATCACAACAACAAACAGTAGTCCAGATTTTCAAATGACGGCGGCCTCATCTTTTTTCCCTTCTTTCGGGGATCCACTTGATTTGGCAGCCCAATATTCGCTATTTTGANTTTTGCCACCTTAATTATTGTTTTATATATATATAAGTACTGTGTACCTCTGCATGCATGCAGAACTCTCTCTATCTCTCTTTCTCTCTATTATTATATAATTATAAAAGAGATATGTTTTCCTTTTTCCTTATTTATTTGTGCAACTGTAGCTCAACTTTAAGAGGGATTATAGGCTTTTTGGCAGCAACTCTTATCAATCAATCAAAGATGCATTTATGTATCATCAACATTTGATTTCTTTCTACTTTGTAGTAGAGAGAGTGTAGTTGTAGTGGTTGGTTGAGTTGAACAAAGTACATGTGAAACTACTACTTATCATGACCTGATCCTAGGATTTCACTTTAGACAGGAATATCTAATATAATCATCCATTACACTACGTACATATACATACGTAGAGGGTCAATGTCACGTCAACATCTTTGTTCAAGGATTCCTGCCTGCAATTTATTATTATTATTATTATTATTATTATTATTATTATTATTATTATTATTATACATGCATGGATGTTTCAGGAATTCCTGCCTTATGTTAAAGTTTGTGAATCGTGTCATATGACTTGATCCATCTACCCCACAATCTACTAAATCTACAACTAATTAATTAATTCTTCACGGGCTTCAAATACAAAGAGAAGTCACCATGCAGCTTTTATTAGTTAAAATAAAACATAGTATAATACCCGTGTATTACACGGGTGTTGAGTTAAGAAATATATGATAAAAGATTAAAAGTTATTGCTAAAATAATTTTTTTATTTAAAAATTTTGAGAATAAACAGTACAGAAAGTGATTTGTAAATCATAATTTATGAGATAAATATGAGAGAAAATTATAATATGGTAAGATTGCACTTGTCCAAACTAAGAAGAAAATGAGTACTAAAAGGAAAAAAGTAACAAAATTAAAATACACTTACCAAGTTTGAAAAAAAATAAATATTTATGTCTAATACCAAGCCTAACTCCAAAGCAAAAATGAATACATAAACAATATTACAAAACATAGATTTTCACCATTTCAGCATCCGAAGCGTAAGAATATGCAACTTAAGCCCCAACATGTTTTGAATTAATAATATATAAAGAGGGATGATATGCTTCTTACAACGCTCTCATGTGCATAAACATCACAACTTCATAACTAAACCTCTAATCCGCGCAAATTTCACAGTACAGCGAATTCAACATTCTCTTCATCTCGTTATGTATTTCGGAATAAATTATGTGAATAGAACATTTTACCAAATTCACATTTCACCACATAATTACACATCTTACATACAGAGGTGGCATTAAATTGTCTTTGCAGCTCTAATAGCGTGCCTTTTCTTTTCGTCATTGCCTCCACAACAATGCCTCAAAAAACCAACCAAAAATAAAAAGCAAAACAAAACAAAAAGAGAGAGAGAGAACTCCACCAATTTCATTCCACCAATAAAGGACGTTAAAACTCCAGATTGAGAATGCTGGGACGCATCTTTGCCGTTCCGGAAAAGACAACACATACACAAAAATAAGAAACGAGAAGCTTCCAAAATTTAGAGCAGCTATGCAAATTAATTTTGACCTAACAGGACATCAGTCTCTGGTTTCCATGAGAGTTTTCAAAAGGAGAAGGTGAAAAGGCCAAAAGAGTTTTTTGCTAGATTTTTAGAGGGGTATATACGTCTCTTAGGGTGTGATTATAATACGGAATTCGAATTTTCAGATTGCCGGGTAAGGGGCAATCGGCATATCGGTCAGAGAGGATGCAGATGGGCTGTAACTCAGAGTCCTCATTGGGTGGTCAAATCTGCAAGTGGGCCCGAATTTGCAAACTCCGTTCTTTGCATAGTGAGAGCAAAGTGGTGCACCCTAAAATGAAGGAAAGTAATGGAAATATACTACAGGAAGACAGAAAAACAGAAGAACACAGGCAGATGTCCAGTTAAGCATAAGAATAAAGAAACACTGTCGACAAAAAGTAGTATTGATAGTATATAAACAGAGACCAGTCTGATTTCAAGGATCATCATTCCAGCAAACAGGGCGCAACATCATTATATTAAATACAGTTTAACATTTTTTTTATTTTTTTCTGGGGATAAGAATGAGTGAATCAGAATTTGCAAGCCTCCATGGAACACAATAAGTCGTAAATACCACTTCAAGGTGACTAGGATTTATTTTCTAGACCAGAGGGATGCAGGCTTACATCACATAAATCTTGAATCCTAACCAAGTCTTTTTATGTACTGAAGAGCTTCAACATATTTGAGGTCAGAGATAAAATGTACTGGAAGTAAAAGAAGAAAGAAGAAAAAGAAAGGAAAGAAAGGAAACCCAAAACTAGAAAAGAGAGTTTTAGAAGGGGGGGAAAAAAAGTGGGAGCTGATTCAGGCAATAATTGTTACACTAGTCAGAGCTGAGAGGACATTAAAAATGGAAAGGAAAAATGTCATAGGATAACAGTAACATAAGCACAAATGAAGAAACAGATTAGAATGTAACTACTGATCATTAATTCTCGCATAAATCTTCATTGGAGTTACATTCAATGGAATTTCACATGGCTATGCATTTCTATATCTGCTACTTGAACAGGAAAGAAAATATAGACAGCAAATGTAGGCTCATGGCAGGCAATGATTCATTTAATTGCCAAACTGCACCAAAATTTAATAAATAACAATACGCACTTTGCTGCTCAATTAACCTATTGTGTCCGTCCACAATTCACGGCAAGTTTAAAATGCTTAAACAAGTGGAAAAAAGGGAATTGAATGCTCACTGGGCGTAAAGGAAGACCCATTGGACTAAGCACAAAAGTAGTCTTTTGCTCACTCCACTCTGGTGGATGATGATACTTACAAGTAGCCCCAAATTTACACTCTCCAGTCCTTAAAAAATGCTGACATTCTGGTTTACCAGCTGAAATATATTGTCCCGAATATGCAGCCGCTGAAGGAGACAGCTGTGCATGTAGTACTTCCAAATTCAGCACAAAATAAATTACATCTCAAAGAAACTTCCCATCAAACACTCTCCATATGTCCCAGAAATTAAAAAAAAAAAGGAAAACAAGAATTAAATAAATAAAAGAAAATCAGAAAATTGATCCCACAGGATTGACTGAGTTGCATTTTTATGAAACAGTCTTGCAATTTTCTCAACGACAGTTTGAACTACACTTACTGGATAGGGAGTTAAACCCGAAACTGGAAGAAAACTTGGGGGGAAGAGCACTGGACTATAACTTCCAGGAACATATGAACCAGGAAGAATTGCAGGACTCACAACTGGCCAATTGCCTTGAATAACCCCATATTGTTGTGAATATTGAACAGAAGGAGAGGGCCCACTCAAATAGTTTCCCAGTGTAGGCACTGATACGCCAGCTGGCTGTGGGTGATGAAATTTACAGGTGAGACCAAACTTGCAGTGCCCTGTCTTTCCATAATATGAACATTCTTTTTCTCCCTGCAAAAAGTGACCATGAGGCGGAAGATATAGTGTCTGAAACAGAAAAAGGAATGATTCTGAAGAAAATGAAAAAAAAAAAAATCAAAAGGTGCAGACCGGCCGCAAAGGATATCCATAAATGTTCAGTGTTATTGGGCCTGAAGACCAAATTCCAAGCTTTGGATGCTTGTACTTGCAGGAAACACCAAATTTGCACGTTCCTGTCCGCATGTAGTGCTGAAAGTCCAAGGAAAAATATTTGAAAAAGATTGAAGACAGATAAACTACTTAAGGAGCATGATCCAGCAAATGACTGCCAAATAAAGGATCTACGGAAATATAGATTAAACCTCGGCATCCTTAAAATAAATAACAAGAAGCAGGTGGATTGCTTAAAGAGTATGACCTAGTAAATCAACTTTAGCCAATATCAAAATTTTAAACTTGTGATTGTACTGAAAATTCGAGACTAGACAGAGAGCAGATGAAAGGTAAGATTTATAACTTGAGCATGGCTATGAGCATAACAATCAAAAACTTTCAAAACCAATGATTAAGAGCAACACAGATTCTGTAGATTAAGAATAATAAGTGTCACACACAACTTGACATAATGGAAAGAACCATCCAGTACCAAGTTGTGTAAGCAAGCCATTCAAGCTAAATATATAAAAAGCAACTGACTAAAAAGCTCCACCCTTCTACATCCAACAAGAGGATGAGATTATCATATGGAGCAGAGGCCTTCTGCACCATCAAGCAACGAATGAACAAATTCAAGTGAAAATGAGTAATATAGTTCAGTTATTTCACACATAACCACATCGGAATCATAAATTTAAGCATTAAAGTTATTTGTGGTGAGGTGTAATAAAACTTCATCTACTTGCATATACATGCACAAATTTTGATGTAAAAAAAAAAAAAATTACGAGCAATTGGATACCTGACAGACAGGTTGGCCTACACGTTCTGGATACTCGCCCCCACCAGCTCGAAATGCTCCAATTGTCTTAAATCACACACACATTGTTGAATTGTGTTAATTAACCAAAATGTAATAAACACAACTGTTTTCAGATTTATAGAACTTCCATTTCCAAAAAAGACAGATACAAGCCTCACCAGAATCACAAAGAAACCGTTGCTACTAGAATTGCCATCATACATTACACAAATCTACTATTTCAACTCAATGCATGTGTACCAGACAGATGTGACCATCCAAAATGTAAATGCTTCCGCTAATTTGCCCACATTTCTTACACCAAAACCACGAAAATGGACTGTTTTCACCAAATTACTACCAAATCCATACGAATACCACTAACTCAGCACTCAATGCATGCTTGACCCCCATATCTATCTCACTCCTAATACCCAGGGAAAAGAATACAAGAAAAAAATACCCCTCCTGTACAAGAAATTTCCAATTTTGCCTAGATTAGCATCAAAATCTACACAAAAACCGCTCTCCGGACTACAATTCACCCATGATCACATCATCGATAATAGGTCTGTATTCTACTGAATAGCTCGAAAGTTACCAGACTACGGTCTCGTGGATGATTGAACCGGCATCGATTCCTGTATCCACAGAATCCCGTCCTCAGGTAATACATACAATCGGGCTCACCGGGCCTCTCCGGGTACGATTCAGGCCCACCTCCTAGGCCCAATTGCCACATACGCTCTGCACACGCATAAATCAAACCTCAAATGAATCAACATTACAAATGCTCCTGAGAAATTCGTGTGAAATTCAAATGCAACTCGCCTTCAAGCCCAGTTTCTCCAGCAGGCACCGCCTCCATTGCGTGGGTCCCACTGTAGCTGTCCATATATTACACACGCACTCACACTCAATCTCTATACAGAGTAAAAATATACAGTACAAGACTTTTACCAAAATGTAAATATCTCTCTTATTCTTATAAGGGAAAATGTTAGGCAATTGATGGCTTGGCACGTGGCACAATTTTGTGGAGTAAAGTTGAACTATATGGCCTCCACGTGCCCCTTGCTTCCTCATTTTCACGATAACTTGCATTTATATTTTTTTTTTCAATTCTGCCTAGCAAAACGACGCCGTACTACACAAGTTGGTTTTACAATTACATAAATAACCCTGCTTTAATCGGTTTTTGGGGGTTATTAGGGTAAATTGAATCCCCAAAGTTTCTACAGAATGTACGTGCGATTGGACATATTCTTTCTGGCAAATCGATTTGTCTTTGCTTAGTTCTTAAGCGAGACTTTGCAACAGTGAGAGAACTTAGATGATCAGAAAAAAAATCTCTCATCTCTTCAAAACCCTAGCCATGGAGACGCTGTAAAAGTGTCGCACCTTTCCCTACCAATCCCTCGCTGGCGAATCTCGGCATCAACAGCGGCTTTAATGGGAATTTTCTCTTTCGCGAGAAACAGCCCGCCTTCGTAGAACCCCGGGCCGAATTGGCGAGATCCAGCGACGGGCCGCTGCCCGCCGCCACGGTGATGCAAACGCAGTTCCCCGATTCGAAGCCCGAGTATGGCGTGGTCAAGACGCGTCCTCCTCTGGAGGGCTTAGATGACTATCCCCTATTGGTTTGCTGATTTGTTCGCCTCTCATTGTTGGTCGCTCTGTTTGGCCCAACAAAATTCCATGGAAGCGATCAAACACAGACATCCAGATTCCCTGAGCGCATACACTGAAGGCTTAATCTTTATGCAGAAGGTAGCGAGCGGACGGGAGAAGATTCTCTAATCTCAGGTACTGAGTATTGGTTGGGCGAAAAGAATTCGAGTGGCGAGCTATATAAAAATGAAACAACACCGTTTTGTAATAAATTATAGCTAAATATTATCATTGATTTTCTGTCTGCAGCTTAATTTGCAAAATCAAGCCCACATCTCAATAGAGAAAATACTCTCATTAAAATACATTTTTCCTTCTACTATAATGTATCTCGGCGCATATGTAACTATGATTGACATCTATTTAACTTCGGTAAATGAACTGTGAGCCTGTGTTAGATGGAACTCACTACCAGTGGACTTTGGATGTGCTGCAGTTAGTATAAATATTTTGAGCTATTCCCTGTTGTTTTATGTAAGTTTTACTTGCAATTGAAATGATATGTTGTTCTATTTAACTGGTCCATGGAACGAGCACTGTTGGTTTTCTTATTGACTGTGAAAGTGCGTCCCCAAGTACTAAGAGCATATAGAAATTGGTATCTTCTACTCATAACTTAAATACTTAAGCTAACCTTATGCTTGTGGTATTTAGTTAAGCATCTCATGTAGCACAAGTATTGTGTGATTTTTTGAACTGCAACTGAAATTTGTCTTTTCTTCTTTTGGTTGTATTTTTGCAGCTGGGAAGTTGTGAGCAAAGAGAAGAAGATAAATGTTTATTTTGTTGTACTACTTGATACGGGATGAAGTAGCAATTGTCCGATTTAATCAAGTATGTAGCCTTGATATTTGTTACCAACATAATTGATATATGTGGTTGCGTTGGCTACTTGATTTATGACTTTAGCTTAAATGTATAACTCTTATATTTTACATCCCTAAAATTCCTTTTATCTTATTCTTATTCACACTAAAATATTCTACAATTTTGTTTCATTTCAACATCAATATTTTTTGTGTGGGTCTTTTTTGTTCCGTCTATAATATTTCTCATGTTTGGATACATTTTTGCAAATTTGAATGGAAGTGTTGTTGCCTTGGCAGGTGGAGGTTAATGCTTTAGTGTTTGTTAGGCAAAAATTTACTGAAACTCTTGCAAGTCTTATTGTTAACAAACTTAGAGCTGGAATTAAGGTATTAGGCTCCTTTATCCTAAATTTGGGGTATTTTCTTTTCGTTGGGTGATACTATTTCTCTACCTGTTGCTTGACTTTTGCCATTAATATTTAAATTTTATGTTCCAGGTTTGTGTTGTGAAAGCACCTGGATATGGTGGATATGGTGAAAACAGAAAGTCTTTTGCAAGATCGTGCTGCCTTAATTGGAGGCCATGCAAGTACATGTACAAGCATGTCAACCTTTTCTCCCATAAAAAGACATGAATATTTCTTTATACTTTGTCTATCATTTTAATAGGTTATTATTGAGGAGGTTGAAATGAACCTTGAAAATGTCAAGTTGGACATGCTGGCTCATGCAATATGGTTAGCTCATTTTAGCTCTTGATGAATTGTGCAACCAAAATTTTCAATATCCTTCTTTCCAGTGCTTTCAAAATACCTCATAATTTCATTATTGATCAAACTAATCTGTACAAGAATGCTCGCAGACGCAAACTAAAACTATTTGCAGATTTTGTAACGGTAATTAAAATGCTATGATCTCCCGTTGTCTGGTTCTTGGATTCTAATGTGAGAAAAATGGTTTTCCATTGCATCAGCTTGCTGCTGTGGTCTTTCCAAGAGTAGAAAAAATCAAATTCCATGGTGATAAGAGATTTCAAGAGATGGGAAAGGCAACTGATTAAGAAGGTAATGAGATGTCAGGTATTCTCATAAAGGATAAGAAATTCTTGGTTTTGTTCGGTGACAATAACATTGCTTTTCGTGATTTGATGTTTCGTACTATTTTTTTCTTTTTTTTTTTGCAGCCAATTATAATATGCCCACAACAAGGACATGAATATAGCTGATGAATACTTCGATCAGGTATTAACTTGAAATCTTTTTGTTACGTCTCACAATTATTTACTAATTCCTTTTCAGCTTATTAAAGTACATAAATTAGTAAAGGAGACCCATGAGCAGGAGGTGCTCCATGGCAGCTGTAACTGATTATTATCTTCATCTATTCATGTTTTTATCTTACTATGTTTAACAAATTACTAAATACTATGTGATGTCTTGGCGGAAACTGGGTTACATATTTCACAAAGTGAAAATATTTCGCAAAGTGAATTGAATTCTTGAATAACACGAATGGTATCTATAGATAAGAATTTTGTGGATCCAACTTTTTACGAGTTTTCAATACCCACTTCACGTAGCCTTATATTTTGTCACGTAGTTGTTGTGGTTGTACTCTCTCTCTCTCTCTCTCTCTCTCTCTCTCTCTGTTCGCGCAGTTGATGTGCTTATATGCATTTTTGTGCATGGGTACATGCATCATAAACTGCCAAGTTTTTTTATATGAATTCAAAATCTGAAAAACTTTGCAAGATACAAAAATGTGATGGTGCACTTGTTTTTGGGCAAAAATTCAAAATTGGTCCTATAATTTGGCCACTGTCCAAAAACCACCCCGATATTGACCACTTTCAATTTAGGTCCTATAATTTGTCGGTTTCATCAATTTTGGTCCTTTTTTATCCGCACCCTGGATTAAAAAGTGACGTGGCATGAAAAAAGGACTAAAAATGATGAAATCGACAAATTATAGGACCAAAATTGACGTGCCACGTAGATCATAATCACGCCATGTAACATTAAAAAACTGACACATCATGCCACGTCACTTTTTAATCCAGGGTGCGGATAAAAAGGACCAAAATTGATGAAATCAACAAATTATAGGACCTAAATTGAAAGTGGTCAATATCGGGGTGGTTTTTTGGACAGTGGCCAAGTTATAGGACCAATTTTGAAATTTTGCCTGTTTTTGTGTATATATCTGTATCAATTGGCATAGAATGAGGTTACTAATTGGCTACATACTTGTCAGTTTTATATTATGGATACTTCTGAGAACCATACTCAACACAATATAAATAACTTTGTAAACAATACTTCATGTTTAGAGTAAGCACAAGAAGTAAACAGAGTATAGGGTGTTTAAAAGGTACAAAGAAACCATTAAATCTTTTTATTTTTACGTAAATATCCTAAATGTGGTTTTTGTAATTATCCACTGTATCAATTGTTTTCTGTTTCCAGCTAATTGTGGCATAAACTCCACCAATGTCATACAACATGAGGAGAATGCACAAAACTGTTGATTTGGAAAGGGACACGACGAGTCTAGGTATTAATTTGTTAATTTGGATTGTTCTATTTTTTATGCAAATTTTGTGCACGTGTAGAAATTTTTGTTAAAGAAGGTTTAGTTTTATTATATAATTAGAGATTCTTAACCTTTTCGCTTTTATGTTTTTAGCCTCTTCACCATGCTGTTGGAGGATTATATACCGAGGCCATAAGATTGTTGCTTCTTTGTGGGGCTTGTCCAACCAAAACAAAATTTATAGAAAGGTAAGCGTATGTTTGGAATTTCCCTCCAGTTTTACTACAAACGAAAGAAAAAATGTATCTGAACATTGGCTCAGATGCTATTTGTAAAGACTTTACTGAGCTTTTTGATTCTGGAAGTGAAGCGAGGAAGACATTGGAAGAGGCTACTGAGGTTATGCTTGGCCTTTAAATTATGAAGCAACAATAATTGAATACAAAATACTACATCAAGACCAGGTCACCCACATATTTTATCTACAGTTGCTGAGTTACAGTTTTATTTGTTCAATTAGTCTATAATTTATGGGTCGAGCACATGAGGTTTTAACCATATTTGTTGTTTCATTCACTTGTCTTGCCAAGTTAAAAAACAGTGTAGAATTTATTTCCCAATAGCTACAGATTAGCCATTTCGTTATTCTTCCACATGCATGTGTGCCTAGAGCATTTTTTACACTTGAAGGTGAGTTCTTTTTCTGCATATGAGAAAAAGGGAGTCGAGAATTTCTGTGAGAGAAATGTCACCATATTAGTAAATTATAATTTAATCAAGCAGCCTTTTTCGCTTTTTTTGTTTTAGTTTCAGGCATGAAAAATGAAGTGGGTGAAGTTGTGTGACATTCCATATAATTTGATTCATTCCCTAAGACTGTTGCACCATATGCTCATGTTCTGCATGTGTTTCTTTCTTCAAATATCTAAAACATGTAAACAACTTCCAAAACACAATTAAAATTATGTGGTCAATTTATGTTGCAAAATTTGTTAGATTTAAGACAGTAATCATTGATCAGGACAGTTCAAATGTCAAGAAAACAAACAACGTACTGTACTGCCCATTCTTTTTCCTCATTTTGCATCGATTGATTGATTGTTTTATCTAGCAACGGTTATTATTATTCTTCAGGCATGATCTCCCGCTACCTCTTTGCCTCATCGGGTCTAGAGAATGAAGACATCGTGAAACAACTCCGTGGTCTCTTAAAGCTGCGCATTCGAGTTCTTGGGGTGATTTTCTTGAAACAAATCCTCAGCTTATTAAATTGAATGAATCAAACTGTTGGCAGTATAACTGAAAATAAGAAAATTTGTATTTCAGTTGGTAAGAGAAGCTCGAAAAGCAACAATGCGACAAATTGGGAGACACATATCTATGGTCTTATGGTGTACTTTTAAATATCTGGATGATGTTTAAAACCAAGGGAATTTAAATTGAGAGTGGTTCTTTTGTTGTTGCATGTTTAGGCTTCAGATTTCATATTTAGTCATGTAATACTTTTGAGTTTCTTTTCCCTTTTTTTGAGTAGATTTCTGTTTCATTGGTAGGGGTTTAACTAATTAATACACATGGTAAAAAACCTTGATAAATATGAAAATTTTATATGATATTACTTTTTCTATTTTGTATAGGTTTTTATTTTCATTTGTTCCAATTATTATATTATATGTTGGAAATTTGAATGCTCAACTATTTCTCACGCGTTTATATGACGCAAAATGTGAAACTACTTTTGTTTCCTGCTGTTTTTTTGTTCCATATGAATGTACATAGTATTCATTATTTATTATCATGACCATTTTTGGAGATTGTCACATAAATGTTTGTTACTCCACATTATGGCAAAGATGGAGACAGGTTACAAGCATAGGAAATGCCAAACTCAACTGAGGTTTCCGGCTTGTAAGTTCAAGATGGATTCATGTAATAAAAATGACGACCCACAAGAATTGAGCATTGGACAAGGATAAATAGAAAAAAAAAAGGTTCAAATTTTTCAAGGATTTCTAATTTCAAACAGGTGTGTTTTAGGTTATTACTGAGCCTCGGGCTAACTTTCGTAATTGAACGGAAATTCTTAGAACCAAATATTCGAATCACTAATGAGAAAAGGCTGTTAAGCCAGAGCCAAAGTGGTGACATGAAGTTATTGAACTACAAACAAGAAAAAGACTACACAGTCAATACCACGAGTGGAGACTAGAAGTTATTGAATTGCAAACAAGAAAAGATTATTTAACAAAAACCGCAAGTGGCGACTAGAAGTAATCGATATCTATTTTTGTAAATCAACAACAATTTTTTTCTAACATAATGTATAATTGCATGGTTTATTTGTTATTACAACAATAGTAAACAAAAATACGCACTTAGAATCAAAACATGTTTGCTTTTGATTGTTAGACTATGCTGCTATATTTTGGGTTTTGTGGAATCAAATGTATTTAACTTATTTTAAATGCGTTACGGTGTTTGTTGAATAGGTTTTTTTTATGTGCTTTTTGAATAGTTAACTTAATGGTTTATGAATTAATTAAAGTTTCGAACAATAATTCTGGAGGAAAAAGGGAGGATGTTAACAATTCTTTTGTCAACTATTGTTCAACTTACAATTGACCAAAACATATGTATTAGTATACAAGTACAAATGAAAACAAGTTTTTAACATAATCTATAATTAACTATTTTCTTAATTACACCAGTAATTATAATAAAAATTGGGCCGGTTGTGCTGTGCACAACCGGAATCCCACTAGTCTTGTTATTACAAAAGAAAACACGTAATTATGTGTGATTGTGCGAGAGAGAGAGAGAGAGAGAGAGAGAGGTGGTTTGAGACTTTGACGGAGAGGGGGTTTGGTTGTTTAAGTTTTAGAGAGAGTTGCGTTGAATCACTCTCACTCACTGGGCTTTCAGACAAATTGTGTTATTTTTCTGGTGCACTTTTTTGTGTTGTATTTTCATTGCGCGTGTTAAAAATTAAATGGATGAATTACAATATAAGTAAAAGAAATATTATTCAAAAAACTTGCGGAAATGATAAAAAGCATACTAATTTTTTATAGAAGTTTATATTATAGAAGTAGATGTATTGTGTATTTGTGTTCATTAGACAACAAGGACTTATGAGTATAAAAACAACAATAATATGTATAATTGTCTCTCACAAAATAAAACCATGTGTTTTTCTTAAAAATATTATAATTAAAAATTTATTAAACTCTGAAAAAGACATTTCTGATATTCAACGTAATAAAGAGTTTGTCACATTAATGACACTCTGCTTGAATTTTATTTTTATAAAATTAGTCATAACATAGTTCGCACATATCAAAAAAATAAAGTCATATTATTCTTATTATACAAATAAACATATATACGAATAATTGAAATTAACACGTATGAGCTAACTATAATCAAGATACATATATTAATACTACTAGTATTCGATCATGTGCACATGCACAGAGAAAAACAAAAATTTATATATTATATGTACGTATATGATATTTAAAACTTTAAATTAGATAATGTGTGTATTACATTTTTAAATTTTGACTATATGTAAATGTATCTATCGTTTCGAAAAAAGAAAAAAAAAAACTATATGTAAATATATAATATAAATATTAAATTATTTAACTTCCATATCAATTAGTTTTTTTTATATTGTATAACTATAATAAAAATAGGAATATTATCTGTAAAATAATTTAATATTGCATATTAAGAAAATTTAAAATCTTGTAAAGCTGTTACCAAATAAAAAATTAATAATAATAACGTTTTATTTGTGTAACTGTTATTTGAATGCTGGTCATAAAGTTTTTTATTAGATGAAGTTCTATTTTTATTAATTGCTGGCTGGACAAAATTTATGGAAGCTTGCCAGCATATATATATATATATATGTGTGTGTGTGTGTGTGTGTGTGTGTGTGTACTAGTTGGGTAACGCCGTGCATGCACGGCGGACTCAAATTTAGCTAAAAAATACAGTGAAAATTTGTCATTAGTTGTAATGATCAGTCAAGTTCATTTCCAAGCTTTCACCATAAATGCCTCATTACACAGCTTTATGGACAATTGTTGCAGGCCCAGCTCAATTGTTGGTGCAACTCTTTACATATATTATGCCTGCTAAGTTATTAGCACCCAAAAGAATACTTTGGCACCTTTCTTAGTAGTGAGAACATGAAATGAAAAATGTGATGGTGTGTAAATCTCCAGCATAGAAGTTCTGTTTATTATATGGCAAAATTAATCGCATGACTGCTAAGTTGTTAGCACCCAAAAGAATACTTTGGCACCTTTCTTAGTAGTGAGAACATGAAATGAAAAATGTGATGGTGTGTAAATCTCCAGCATAGAAGTTCTGTTTATTATATGGCAAAATTAATCGCATGACGAATGAAAGAGTGGATGTATAGCACAATTAAGTCTACAGCCGTTGCAAATTTGAGACGGCTAGGCCATTTTGTAATTGATTTGAGATTACTAAATAACTATTTGTTTGTTTTGGTAAACCAGACCAAAGAGATTTTCGCCACTGGCATCACATCATATAAAATTATACATAAAAATATCAACAAAATTATATATTCAATAAATATATATAATATAATGTCCCAATAAATCAAATAATATGATCAATTAATTAAATTTTTGGAATTCATCTAGCAGGTATTCTTCAAAGTACAAGACAGAAAGAGAGCACAAAGTTATTGCCAAGGAAAAATGGTATTTTCCTCGGACCAAACATTACGTTGAGAACAATAACCCTTGACAATAGTTGTATAATTGAACTTCAAAAAACTTAAAAACTTTAATGAGTTTTACCTCACCTCTATACTTGATCTCAAAACCCTTCAATTTAGCAAATCACCATTGAAAAATGCATAAGGTTTGTTAACCCTTCTTCATTGGAAATTAGAAATAAATCCATTTTAGCAGAAATATACTTTGCATTTGAAGCTTTGAGCAGGTAAATAGACATCGTAATGCAGGATAAAATATATGTTCCTCAAGGATATTTTTGTCCCCTTGGTGATGAGATAGGTGTCAGCTTTAATTTCTGAAACCCATTTTCTTACTAAAGGGAATTTGAATGTCAATAGTTTTTTTGCGATTGATGTGATGTGGAGGTAAATAAACAATTTAATGTTTGCAACTTACGACATGTGTTCTGCTTGTACCAAAAACTTATATAAACTCGTGCAATTGGGAGTGGGGGAGGCTCATCTTGCCAGTTGCTTCGAGCGTGCCCAGCACTTGGACTAATTCTTTCGGAGTTCCTTGATGGACGAGACCGGTAGATTAAAGTTTCTCAGCTGCACCTTAGATTTTCAGGGAACAATATTGCCAGAAAATCCTATAAGCAGTCCTTAAATCGTATAAGTCGCCAATATTGTTATTGTGGCCTGCATTTAGTTATTGAATTCTCAGCTGCAAAACTGATGTTATCGTAGCCTGCATTTAGTTATTGAAGAAAATAAAAAGTTACTTCTCTTTACATACATAAGTATCTAAAGAGCCATTTACACCAAACGAGTGATTCTCAGTCACAACGAAGTACCGTGATCAAGAATGAATAATGTATGTCAATTGACAACTGACTGCTGTGAAAATGCAAATCAGCCATTTGAACTTCAGATGGTGCAAACACAAGTGCGGTAAGATAAGCATACCAATATTCTTTGTGGAACTACTGACTGCTGTGAAATGCAAATCAGCCATTTGAACTTCAGATGGTAAATGCCCAGAAACTTTATAGAGATACAGATAATGGATAAAACTTTGACGACAAAACTCTTTGGTACTTATGCAGAAAAGCCAGGTTATAAAAATGGGTCCCATAGTGTTGAAGATAGAACAAACAGTAGGATTATGCAAGCTACTGGGACTTCTATATCTACATGACATGTAGATAAATTGGTAATAATCGTTTCACAAAACTAATGGTGACTAATAGTAATATGGACAGAAGGCACCAAAAATTTGGGACGATAATGATTCGTCAAGATTTTCTGTTGCACTAATTCTTGCAAGTATACATGCAAGAAGCATAAAGAATCGTATTTTCTTATTTAACCTTCACAACAAAACATGAATCCTTTTGACATAACTTCGTTTTCCCAACTCTTATTTTTCGTTATAGTATTACTTCTAGCTCACTGTTCTTGTTAAGTCTATTCAAGTCCTTCATGTAATGTGCTTTTCTATGATCGTCGTATATTATTTAGGGCTGGCATTCTTTGACCGAAAACTGAACCGAACCGTACCGAACCGACGAGAAAAAAAACCGAACCATACCGACTCATTTAAAACGGTAACCGATCATCGGTTACCGATATGTTATAGGTTCGGTATCGGTTCATAAACTATAAAAGTACGGTATTACCGAACCGAACCGATAAGTAATTTAAAAAAAAAAACTTAATATTAGTAGTTAATAATTTAATACTAATAATTAATAACTTGATACTAATAAAATAACTTAGTACTAATAAATTAGTAATTCAAGTACTCACACATTAACAAGAAAAAAACATCATTTTAATAAGTAAGAAATTATTAAATAGATGAATCATGAAGATGTGTTTGGATAAACTTTTGCAATGGGAAGCTGGTTCACTTGTGTGAAAACTGAAAATTGAAAACTGAAAGGACTCTTTACACCAAGCCCAAATCCAAATAAAAAGGTTTGTTCTTGTAAGTTGTATTATTGGTAGATAAATGTTGGGTATTATTGGTGGATGAATGTTGGAATGTTGTTATTATTGGAATGTTGGACTTAATCATGTTGGAACATGGTAAATGAATGTTGGAACTTAATCAAGTGGCTTTATTATTGGTAAATTTTGGTTTTTTCGGTAAAAAACCGTTACCGAACTGAGCTTAATCAAATTTCATATTTATTGGTAAATTTTGGTTTTATCGGTAAAAAACCGATACCGAACCGAGTTTCCGGTAACCGAAAACTCGGTTACCGATAACTATCGGTACAATAACGGTTTCATATTTGTTGTTACCGAAATAATCGGTACGGTATCGGTTTAGTCTTATTGGTTTGGTAACCGAACCGATACCAGCCCTAATATTATTGACTCATCAATTTCACAAAAAGAGCCCCTGTCACCCCCGATTGCTACAATAGAACAAATACGCCAGGACATTAAAATTTCTAACCGAAATATTGAACTTTCAAAAGAACTATCACATGACACATCCAAAAAATGCTCAATCTTCAATTAAGTAAGTACCTTGGCAGAAGCAGAAGACGTTGATGCAGTGGCATTAGGTTCTTTTTTTGGTAAAGATTCAAGCACGTCGAAAATGGAACTCCGATTCACAACAGCCAATCCTTATTCGTACAAAAAGTCCAATTGCTCTTGCTTCCTGAAAGACAAATAACAATTGAATTAGAAAAATTAGTAAACCTAAAATCAAAAGTCCTAGTTAAAAAATTATAGACAGACGGAAAACATCCACAGCATGGCTGCAGCAAACCAAACCAAACACAGGAGTGGCTACAACATGTGTGCAGGGTATTATCTCACCCTTAAATTTTCCTGACGCAATGGCTGCAGTATCTTTTCTGTGTGACTCAAGGACTGTTATTTTCTAAATGAGCACTCGCACCCATTCAAACCAAACACAGGAGTGCACATTAAATGCTAAAAAACTTGATAGGCTGCAGAACCCGTAATAAACAAAAGAACCCAGACAAACACATTCCTTAAAAATTGAATTTAAAAATGGGGCAAAATATCATTTATTTGTTTATTTGAAGTAGAAACATATCAGAAACATCAACCGCATTGCAGTGTGGATCAACTACAATAATAGTCTCCAAGAGTTTTCTAATCCAAAAATAATAAACAAACAAAAAGTTAACAGGTTTTTATGTTTTCTTAACTAAGTACATAATCCCAGAAGATACAAAGGCAAGACCTCGAGAATATTCGATCCAAAAGCTCGCCACGTTCACATAACCTGAATATGAAATCCGTGAATGATTGAATGCTTCAAAAAAGATAATTCTAAAATAATAATAGAGATAAAACTCAACTGAACATGATGCCAATATTAAGTCGAAAAGTGCAGGTGTACAAGGAAGCGACTTGGGAGGTTGGATAAAAAAAGAACAAATACTAAAATCGCCAAATCAAAGCTTACTCCATCGCAATGTAGACAGTGTCGTGGTCTTCAAAAGCATCATAAAACTGGATCAAATTGTTGTGTCGTGTCAAAGCTTGCAACATTTTCACCTCCTTTCTTGCGTCTTCAAGAGCAATAGCAGTGGTCATCTGAAAATTGCAAATGGGTCCCCAATAGTAAGCCGCTGTATGTAGAGATATCTTGATAAATAATGATATAAGAATGTGAAGCGCGTCATGAATACCAGGTCCATATCGTACCTACTTTTCGTCTCTCTTAGCCGTCAACGCCGTCTGATCATCCAAGGACATCATCGCGGCTGCTATTGAGGAAAACAAAGGCGTCCCTCCCGTCGATCAAGGCAGTTGATAATTTTCAAGCACTTGAGCTGCCGGAATTGACCACTGGTTGGACTCCAGTTTGGACCAAACTGGCAAAGCCGCAGTTTATGCACTTGAAGTTGCGGCAAAGATCCAATCTTTGCCTCCATCTCTTCCCAACTCGGCTCAAAGCCCCATAAAGTTAACTTCCTGAGAGAAACTATGCGCCGCTAGATTTTGGTGTCGTGTGGCCGTTGTATACGGAGAAACTTGTCTTTATGAGCTTCTTTCAAGTACAGATCCCGCAACAGGTCATGGATTTTGCAACATTTTATATTCGTGGAACCAACTTATGAACTAATACAAGGTTCCTGTCCACAAGGTCCTGTAGGTATTCTTCTGCCAAACGTTTTCCACCGATTGGTTTTAGACACCCTTCTGAAACCCATAATCTGATGAGCTTACATGCACGAATCTCACGGTCTTCAGAAAAAAATCAAATAGTAACAAAATCAACAACACAAGTTGATTCTAATAAATAAATAAATAAAATCAGCACGAAAATCACTATGCCATTTTCCTAAAGCCCTTTTGAGACAGACCCGACCGGTGGCGACGTGTCAATCAAATAGTAACAAAAACCAAGAACAAAACACACAAACACATACATAAACAAAGCAGGAAAAAGTACCTTGCGACTTGCGAGCCCCATACAACCTTCAACGCATGCTATGACGGCTTGTGCGAGGCCGGTTTTCAGAAACCCATTCTACCGAAGTGGCTTGACGCCTCCTTCACGGACTCGACCGGTAGCGACGTGTCAATCTCGACTCTTGTCGGAGGATTTGGTCCTCTGAGGCTCGAATAGGCAGTTTGGGGTCGAAGTATATTAAAGCTCGCATTCGCCATCTTCAATGAAAGGAAGAACCCAACAAGGGATGCGACCTAAGAAGCTCAGAAAAGTGGGCTTTGAGGGCTGAATTTGACAGTGGTGTGCATTTAGTGTGTGTCTGCGTGTATATGAAATCGTCATATGGGTCTTGCCAATGACCTCTTGGCCTAGTGGTAAGAGTGAGACACTCTTGACATGAGGTCAAGGGTTCGAGCCCCCCGGAGCACAATGGTGGAACAATTAATACTGAGGACTAGAAGCGGCAGTGTGAGAGGCTGAAACTCGGTGGGAACCAGCGGCTAGATAGGTGGGGCCAGCATGAAGTTGGGGGGTCCAGCGAGCGATCACTTCGGTGGGAACCAGCGGCTGGATAGGTGGGGCCAACTTGGAGCTGGGAGGGCCAGCGAGCGATCACTTGGGAATCGACTCCTTGTGCACGGTAGTTGAGGGTATTGAGTACCTGGGAGCCATTGTGTGGCTACCGCGGTTTAATTGGAGGCAGTGTCTGAGGGGCCGGAGCTGTTTCCTCGAGGACTAGTCAGGCGCAAGCCTGGAACCTCGGTATAAAAAAAAAATAAATAAATAAATAATTTTTTTTCTATTTATCATAGATATAACTCGCAAGATAAATTATATAAAAGATATAATATATTAATTTAAACTTGTGTGCAACGTTTGCTAAGAGAACGAAGAAATGTCATTATTGTTGACTTTCAATATCGATAGTTCGTACCATCCAAGTAAAGGGGTCGAGCAATCGAGCCGGATTTGTGGTTCCTTGTGCCCAATCCCTGAGTCCACTGTCTTTAACTTGTGATTAGAACATGTAACAACTGCAATACCAATTGAAGTGTATGAGGAGCGTATGACTGCGAACTTATATAGCTACACAAAATATAAAGCGTAAGCGACGCAAATGAAATTGTCTTCAAGAAGCATCCGTTTTGCTCATAACTCTTTCACAATATGTTGCAAGCTCGACTAAATCTATGAAATCCAATGAAATATGAACTCTCAAAACTCTCAAAACTCTCTCTCTCTCTCTCTCAAAATGTTACAATACAATGATGAAGTCTCCTGAATATATATGTATCCTTCTTTGGTAGTAACTCTTCAGAAACTTCATTGTTGGTAAGTTTCCTTCATTGATGAGTCTTCAAGATTTCCATATTCGCCTTTAATTTGGAAGGTTCAAAGTCATGTTAGAACACGACTTTTCTTAATTATGAGATCCGACTGATCTGTTCTAGTTGGTCTGTATCTAGGTTATTCTCCTTCCATTCGTGTCCAATCCGCGTCCATATCCCTTAGCCGCTTTCAGATCCTTTCCACGCGTGTTCCTACGGTAAATAAAGAAACAAATCAAGATTAAATGTAACTCAATATTTAGAAATCAAAACACAAGAAAACTTATAAATAAGTCCACTTCCCTTTATTTTATCTTGCTTTATTTATAAATGACCTATAAAAAATACAATTAAATAAACAAAGAAAATATTCCAATCATGACAATTCAAAATCCGAACATCATTGTTGAGCTAGAGACAATTCCCACACATGTTTGTTCATTTTTATTCAAAAAGACTTTTAAAGTACTTTAATTCCTCTGCCTAACGTGTACGACCAGACAAAGTTTCCAAATAATACCATCGTTTTCCTCGCATTTTCCATCCTCTCCAACTACTGCTCCAAAATAAATCATTGCCCCTGGTTCTCTTTCTCTCTCCCTCTCTAAAATTACCCACTGTTTGTTCTTCTTTTCCTCACACCTTTTTATATAACAACCTGCCTTCTTCAATATTTTTATTTTTCTTGAAAAAAAAAAAAAAATAATTAAAAAACACA